AACTCATCTGTAAACTGGACCAGCTGGGGCTCAACACCTCCCTTTGCAACTGGGTGTTGGACTTCCTCAGCGAGCGGCCACAAGCAGTACGAGTCGGCAACAACATCTCGAGCAGCATCACACTGAGCACAGTGGCCCCACAAGGCTGTGTGCTCAGTCCCCTGCTCTTCACCCTGCTGACTCACGACTGCACACCTACCTACAGCACCAATCACTTGGTAAAGTTTGCGGACGACACTACTCTGGTGGGTCTCATCACCAAGAACGATGAGACCTACTACAGGAAGGAGGTCAACCTCTTGAGCAGAGACAACAACCTCCTGCTGAATGTCAGCAAAACAAAGGAGATTGTGGTTGACTTCAGGAGAAGACACACTGAACACCCACCACTGACCATCGATGGTGCTGCTGTGGAGCGAGTGAGCAGCACCAAATTCCTGGGGGTGCACATCAGTGAGGACCTCTCCTGGGCCACCAACTCTGCATCACTYGCGAAGAAAGCCCAGCGGCGCCTCTACTTCCTCCGCAAGCTCAAGAAAGCKAAAGCCCCCACTCCCATCCTGAACACATTCTACAGGGGCACCATTGAAAGCATCCTGTCATGCTGCATCACTGTGTGGGGCAGTAGCTGCACTGAATACAGCCGAAAAGCACTGCAACGCGTGGTGAACACAGCTGCTAGGATCATTGGTGCCCCACTCCCCTCCTTGCAAAGCATATACACCACCRGCCTCACCCGGAAAGCCACCTCGATTGCGAGGGACACCAGCCACCCCGCACACAGCCTTTTCAGCCTCCTACCCTCTGGAAGAAGGTATAGGACCCTCCGTTCCCGCACCACCAGACTCAGCAATAGCTTCATCCATCAGGCTGTCAGGAAGCTAAATTCTCTCTACTCACTCCCCCCAGCCATATCCGACAGTCTGACAACAGGCTGAAATCCCCCCCCCCTCCAAAAATCACTCAGGACTCTGAAACAAACTGTCTCTGCACTTTATCACTTTATCACTTTAACACTTTTTATCACTTATCACTTTTACCTCTTTTAACTTGCACTGCTGTAATGTAATGTTTATCTGTTGTTTATCTGTTGTGCCTGTGCACTTTATATGTTTCACTGTGGGGAGAGTGGGAAACGTTCTTTCGACTGCTTTGTATGTTTACATGTGAATTAGTTGACAATAAAGCTACTTTGACTTTGACTTTGACTTTGATAAGAACCAGAAACTTCAGTACAGTTTCAATAATAGTGTTTGTGGTAATTGAAAGCTTCCAATTACTTCATTAATTATTTATCTAAACTGTGGCTGCCTGCTATATTCTAATTTGTCCTGCTACAAAATTAAAACAAACACTTCTCAAATTAACATAACAGAGCACTAAGGTGTTGTTTAACTCCGATGCTGCATTGTATTGCTGTACTTTGTTATTTGCAGCATCACGCTATCATCCATTAAGTTTTTAACATCTTCGCAGACTTTATTTGGATCAGCTCCAAAATGGAATGAGTTCTTCCTTGGGCCACGTCCCACCCCCTCCACAGATGTCATGGAAATCTGTTTAATATTTTTTGTGTTATCCTGCTCACTATTGAACAGTCAGAAAGATGAATAACATGAAACCTCTAATGTCTGAAGGCAGCCCACAGTCTCCATCCAAACAAAAATAAAAGAAACAGAACCAAACATAAACGTGCAGGTGATGGTCACAGGTCAGGAGCATGTGTACTGTACCTGTCGTGGTCTATGTGCTGGTCAGCGTCGTACATACAGAAAGGCTTATCAATGGTGGTGCATTCATTCATGAACTCTATAGAGCCTCCCAGGTCAGCTGATATATCACAGATGGCCAGCAGCCTGCAGAAAGACAGAGAGAGAGAGAGTCCTCAGGTGAGAACAACAGGCTGAACTCTCACTCTGTAAACATGACTAAAGATAATAACCTGACATTTGACCTCTGTGGCAATACAGCGGCTACCATGCTGCACTTTCAGACAATCAGCAGTCAGTCTGTCAGAAGGTCACAGTAAGGGTGTTGGAGCCCATTTTAATTTTGTAATTCATAATATATTCATTAATTATATGAATTGTGCAGTATATCTGTTATTAAATATGGATTTTGTTATTTATTAGGAATATTATTATATTCCCTCCATCTGATAGTAAAGGAGGAGTCTATATGAATGAATGGGTTTGTGGATCAACTGTGATAACAGGGATCGGAACAGTTTTTCAACTGCAAATAGATGATTTACCACCGAATGTTAGGTTTTGTTTGCAAGACTACTTTGGATTAACCTTAGGTCAATAAAAGTGCCTTTGTCAACTTTGATCGGCGGGTGCCTCAGGATGTTGTGGATCACGTGTTGTTAAACCCGCTTAGGCAGGGGTTGTTTGAGTTTATGAATGGATCCTGGAAACAGCTGTGACACAGACACTGATGTAAAAAAAAATCATTGCCATGTTCATGGTTTAGATGAAGCTCATTAGTTCTTATGAGGAGACGTGTTACAAAAGTGTTCTTCTCTCTTTGTGTCTCAGTTTCTGATTGGCTCTTCCCTGCTTCAACATTACGGTGCTCCTGTGCAAAAATCCAAGTGCATATGGTAACTGCTTTAAACATTTACTCACCTTAATATTGTGTTAGATAAGGTACTTGCAGAGGATTTAAAGAATCTTGCTGAGATGTCCTCTTTTTTATTACTAGCATTATGTTTGCTTGTAGCGTCAATTTAAAGTAGGAGTTCGAAATAAAGACCTTACATTTGGGCTAACAAATCTAGCTAGCAAAAAAAAACTAAACCACAGTTCATATGACCCTTGTGTTGAAGGTCGTAGCGGCCCTTCAGTGTTATTTTAACTCCCAAATGCTCCAAGTTTGATTTTCTGCTCTGCACATACTTTCTGCTCACATTGAGAGTAGGCACAATTCAGCTCAGCTCATGGATAATGTGGTGAATGCTGCTATTCAGCCACATTATACAGCAAGAGGTGACATTTGACTCCATGAATGTCCATTCATTTTACTATGAGACAGAGGTGAAGAGACATTTGTTCTCTCAGAGGCAAGGACACATCTGTCTGAATGTGCTTCAGCTTAAGTGAACACTGCAAGGATAATGAACAGAGACAGAAACTAACCAAGGCAAATGAAACAGCTCACATCAGTTGTTAGTAAGTTTGAGAAACATTCAGTGGTTGGTGAAATCCCATAACCACACTCTTACTTGTGTGGCAGCTCTGGTGATCCCCCGATGGCAGCAGACAAGGTTTTGGGCGGTCGCATCAGTTTCTGGGCATCCAGGCGCCTGAGCAGTCGTGGGGTCTGGGGGTCCCAGTAAATACCATTGATCAGACAGGTTGTGTACGGCGCCACCTGTGGTCGAAATGACAAAATAGATGAGAAAACATTTGTACAGGGCTCAGGGAGCTCTTTACAGTGAGATAGAACTGAATGAATACTCAAGATGACAGACTGAATTATGCTGCTTTCAGACATGCACTTTTTGTTTTAACAATCATCACTGGAGGTATTGGTGTAACAGAAGCTAGTGGACTCACGCTGGTCCTGAAGTGTGAAGTGTACAGCTCCGGGTGATACTCATACTCCAATGGGTCATAGATGCCGTCGCTCTTCCTCATCAGGTGGTGGTGTCGGCTCAGAACCGTGGCGTAAACTCTGGACATATCTGACAGGAAAACAATAAGCAGCATGCTGACAATCATCATTTTTGGATGGTGTTATTGAAGTTTTGCAGCAATCACTTCACAAAAAAATAATTGCATGTTCAATTATTTTATTATATTTTAAAATAAATGTACTGAAGCACAAACTCTGACCTGATGATGGTGATGAAAACACAGCGATTCACCTTAGTTATGATAAACCAAACTGATGTAGAACAAAAATATCGACCGCATCAGTATTTCCATCCAAAGACAAAAGTTACAGCAGTGTTTCCAATTAAATATTGTCTGTGGCAGCCGGCCACGGTTTAATTTGTCCCGACACAGTTTCATAATAAACCAAATACATAATAATATGAGAGATCTCTGTTTTGTTCCGTTGATTTCTTCAGGGCTGTATGCAGTGCTATTTGCCTTGTACTTGCTCGGTTACTCCCTTTTGCTCATGCACTTCCAGAACATTTTTTTTTTTTTACAATCCACACAGACAGTCCAACTTCAGCCTCATACAGACAGTTAACAATACAGAATGTCCCATCCCTTACTGTGATCATACCTCCAGTCTCTGAGACGGCCTTCAACTCATGAGGTTCTACATATTCAACTGGAAGCTCATTGATGATGTCTTGGGCTCCCTGCAGGACAAAAAGTCACATAACATTTAGTCCAAGGAACTTTTCAAGGAACTAAACGGTTCCTGCAGACCATTGTTTTCCACATTGGTCGAATTAGCCTCCTGATGTATGACCAGCTGACAGCTACAAAGAGCTCCACTCATTGTTGTACACAGAAGACCATATAGCAATGACAATTCCTGTGCTTCCATAGTACTACCTCCCAAGCAGTGACTTTTTTGGGTTGCAAAAATATTTCCCTGGAACCCTGGTCCATGTACTGGAAGCCAAAAGGTTTCTGGGGAAAGTTTGTCTTGTAGAAACACAGTTAAAATACTTTGCTCAATCCTGATTTTCCTGACTCTGAAGCCTCTGACAGCTGGGTCATCTTTACTTGTGTATATCTGAGTTTCCTCTAGTCGTACCTTGGAGACGTTGCCGGTTCCGGTGAAACAAAATGTGACAGGACCAATAGATTTGGGCATTAGGCCCATGGAGATCTCATAACCACAATCCCTCACTGCCTGGACGGCCTGGCTGACGTTCCTGTAGTTATGAGCCATGCCAATGTGCTGTGGATGGCACAGAGAAAGAAAGTCATGGTGTAAGAACTAGAATAAAATATGTGGGTCTTCACACAATTCAACATACAAATAAAACACTGTAATAAAATATATGTATTATTTCTACAGAAAGTTAAAGGGATAGTTCACCCAAAAATGAAAATTCACTCATTATCCAATGGAGGGTTGGATGAAAAAACCCATTCAAGGATATTGTTGCAGCCGAATCCAATAGAATTGAAGAAACTAGTGACCAGTGTCTGGAAGCCCTGACATTGAAATCGAAACGACCAAGTATTTGGCCTAAATGTCTGCTGATATCTTCTGACAAGGTGCATTCAGGGACCATTGGAACTGCTAACGTCCGCTAGCTTAGCCACTTCTGGTGGACCTTTAGGCTTAAAACACGGTGGAAATGACCTTGTTTCGGGTCAAACATGAACATTGGGGCTTGCAGACGCTTGGATGAAACCACTCAAGCAGTATGGAGGCATGATGTATTTTTTCTGTTGTTTTATTATGTCTGAAGATAGATCACTACTTTTCTAATATATTGGATTCGGCTGCTACACTGTTTACCCCTGACATTCCAAAATCATTTTGTGGACTCAAACACTTTACCCACCTCTCCATCAACATAATGGTGAGTGGATAATTAGTACATTTTCATTTCTGGGTGAACTATCGCTTTAAGGGATAAAGTTGTTCATGTTAAAATTGATGGAGAATGATTTATCTTACCATAAAGGGAGTGTGGTGTCCAAGAGCCAGGTAGCGCAGCCCCAATCCGTGCAAAATGTTGATCATTCCTTCAAGAAAAATATATTATTTCTGAACAATTACTGTTTCAGAATAAACAAATGTCTGAATAATAAACAAAAATATATTTTTTAATACTAAAATTAAAATTAAGTTGAATATATGAAAACCAACACAAATATCATAAATAAAATAAAGCAGTATCAAATGTGAAAAATATCGATAACACCTCTTGATTCTTAATAAAATTGTCAAAAATATTATTTTATTTAAAAAAAACAAAATGTCCAAGAAAAGTCAGAAAAACTTTATTTGAATGGTGAACCTCAGCAATTACCATTAAATTGTAATATATTATTTTAAGAGCAAAAACATTATTATCTCATTAAGAACCTCTTTTTACAAATTACATTAAATATACTAAGAAAAATACTAATCAACTTATCCCAGGTCAGGCAACCAGAGCTGCTGTGTGGGGGCTCTGATATTTCCTTTCCATTGTTAATATGAAGACAAATATCCAGTGTGTGTACAACTGTGACCCTGTAGACTTTGTACATGTTTGACATGTGTCACAATCTACCCATGGTATTTTACTGAACGTGACATTAAACTGTTCTTCTTTTACACCTACATTACCTTGAGTTGTAGGTATTTAAACATTATACTATAACATTATCTAAAAAAAAGACATAACGCTGTTGACTTAACCTTGAAGTTAAAACCGGTTAAAAGTCAAATTGGGACAGTTTCTGGATTTCTTTGAGCAGCTGGTTGTCATGTTGACAGAAGTCTGGCTCAAGTCTGGTCAAATGCTGATGCCCATCTGATTTATACATCAAACAGAAATGTTTGAACAGGGAGCAGCTCTCTCGTTTGAATCTAAACTTCTCTTCACCGCTGTGTAGTTTCCCACCAACTACTGCTGTTGTCATTCACTTTCTCAGCAGCCTCAGGAAATTAGTGTACTGAACTGAGGCATGTTGTAAAACGTGATCCATCCTACCTGCGACACCAGCCCACTGGCCAAATGCGACTATCCGGTAGCCGTTAGCATCGACCATCTTCTCGTAGTCAATAAGACGAACCTCCTGAAACGACAGAATATATAATTATAATTAATTATAATTTTTTTTAACTTATTTTCATTTATTTTATATGTAGAGTTAAGTTCAAATAAGTAGAAAAAAGTAATACATAGATATATCAAAGAATATGTTAATATCTAATTGTATTATTGTTTGTGATCTTTTTTACAATCCTTTAAAAAGTCCTCCATGGACCGCTGCTGCTTAGATTCTAAGTCTGTAACATTAGTTCTCTGCAGAATATCTGTGGTCACAGCAAAGTTTTGATTGGTTCCCCCAGCCTCTGACGTAAACACTTCTTTTTTCTAGACAAGCAAAGAGTTGATTTCAATCCTGAACCAGTTTTTCTGGCCTCTTCAGGTGTTGAAACAAACAACTGGTTGGACATAAGGAACCTGCTCCAAACCAGCCTTTGAACTGCCTTTGGGGAAAATGGATGGTTTTGGGCCACATATGACAGACTGTATACTCAGTTGTGTGCTGTGATTGTGACTGTAGTACACTCCAACACTAACCAGAGATTTATAGAAACGACAGTTTGAACAGACCTGCTAGTATTTTCCAGGGAATTGAATATGTACTAACCTAATAGTAATGGAAGATCTCTTTATTTGGAGAGAGGGGCAAGTGTGCATCATAACCTGCTGCTGATAAACATTTTAAAGCAAACAATGCTTATATCTATTTATAAGCATATAAATATAATTATGACAAACAAATTCTTACTGTAAAACATGAGGAATTACCTGAACACATCTCTCCCTCAGAACACCTTACACAGACTTGAGTGCTTTGGGAAATGACTGTGATCTACACCTTTGACCACCAAAATCTAATCAGTTCATCTTTGAGTCCAACTGAACATTGTATCAAGTTTGAAGGAAATCCATCAAGAGATATCTAGAGATATGGTGTTAACAAGACGGACGGACAGACGATCGGAAATAATAACACCATAAACATAAACACTGGCTGTCTCTGGCATGAAAACAAACAAATCCTACATACAGTACACACGGTACTATATACCAAACAGTATATTTGCTTGGTAATTTTTAGGTTTTCAAATATTGACTTGTTGAAAGCCTCCGAAATGTGGCTATAGAAGTAGTTTCTTCTAAATTAACATGAAAAATAAAGCAGCTGGGGTCAGGAACACTGCTGGGTTTTTTAGGGCTCTTCTGAGTGTTCTCACCTTTTTCAGTAAATCGCCCAGTAGCCCCATGTTGGCCTCCTGGGCCTTAATAGTGTGGGAGAAAAAGGCGTACGTCTTCTTCTCAATGACCTCCTCCTCAGACGGCCTCTTCACTCCGATTATCAGCGACGCCTCAGAAATGTCCTCCTGAATGATGGCCCCGGCCTTCGAGTAGTACTGAAATCAAAACATAAGGTACATCCGGTTAGCCCGCCAACAGAGACACTCAGACACTCATTACGGCAGTATTTTGTTTTGCTTTTTTACATTTATATTTGTGTGTTATTAGAAATTTAATATGTATGTACGATATATTTAACTATTAAAAAAAATGTCCACATATTTGTGCACAGGAAATCTATTACTATACCACCAGTACCAATGACATTAATAATTTTTACGAAGCATGTGTAGGGATATGGGTAAGTGAATGACTGTGATATACATGTTCAACATCCATGTATAATATATGCACAGTATATATAATATGTAGTATTAATACAGATGGTGGACACATGAAGTGTCTTCATTTTGTGTGCAACAAATGTCTAATGGACTTTCATGAGCGTGAGAGAGCCAGAGAATTATTTTGTAAACGAGGACATCGAGGCTGATACCAGCAGATGACACAAGCTGGTGAGAAAGTGAGAGGGCTCAGGGGAGTGGTGGGAGCAGAGACTGGTTTGGTCTGGTTGCTGTACAAATACAAATCATAACACTACACACTTAAACACACATGTAATGTCACCTTATATATTCCAGATCATTCAAATGTATCACTATGTATTCCATTTCCCAACAGAAATGATTATACTATCCTAATGTATATTTATACACATAACTTTAGTCGCTGCTGCACTGGCTGTTGCTCATTGGTCAAGCACATTTTCCTGTGGGGTGATCTAATGGTTGCCTGGTTAGTGCACATATTACTATTAGCTGCATGGGTGTTAAGGATCGGTAAGGTGTTATCTAAGTTATTAAATTGATAGAAATCAAAATGATACCTTGGTGGGTCACACATATGCAAATGTGTGAGCCACCATGGTATCATTTTGATATCTACTGCCCCTAGAGATACATAACAACTGCAAAGAGACACAAAATATTCAGAAAACAGAACATGATAACAACAAGTGGTTGTGATGAAGTTTTGTAATATAATGGCAGAAGTAACATAACCAATGCAGAAATGCCTTGACTACTAACTCAACAACTCCCAAAGTAAAAACCTAAATGTGGTTGACATTATGAGAAATTGCTTTTCATTACCTTCTCATGAATAGCTCTGCTGTTGCATGGTTGGACTAGGACTTTGACGCCAGCGTTGGTCAGCTCCTTGACGTGGCGTGGAGCGAGCGGCGCCCTCCTCTCCCAGGGATTGACGTCCTCCCGACGGATGGCCATGACGGCCCTGTGGTGCTCATAGCGCCGCTGGCCTGTGAGGCAGCTCGGCAGCCTGTTGCTTCGGTGACTGAGGAGTCTGAACATTATTTCACCTTTTCCTGCTCGGGAAAACGACACGGAGCCATTGGCTGATGAGTTGAAACTAGAAACACTGACTCATAACATTCAGCCAGGAGGTGACACCAACTCTTTTGACAGTGAGTGTTTCTTTAAACTAGGTATTTTTGAATATTTTACTCTGATAAAGCCTGTGGCAGGATTTTTTAAATCCTGAATTGATCTGCCTATTATTTTTTCAATTAGATGATTCATTTATATATAAACGTGCAGCCTTAGGGAACCATGGCTGTTGCAGTTTCCCAGTGTCCAAGGTCACATTATCAGATGTCTTGTTAAGTCTGTATTCAAGTGACAACAAAAGCATCAAGCTCTAATCATTTTGAAGCTAAATTGACAAAATATTGGTTATGTTTGCTTCAAAATTGAATACATTCGTTTATTACCAAAGTGATTGCAGAATAATTCTTTCGATGAGCTAATCGATGATGTTTCTGTCACTTGCCAGTCAAGAGAAAGTATGATGGAGTAGTCAGAGGTCAGGCTGAGTTTGCTGCTGGGAGAGCAGCTGACAAACAGCTGGTTTCGACAGACCAGAGAAACTAGAAACTGCTAATGAGGCACAACAAAACATAACAACTATTCAAGACCAACACATCACAGATTTACACGTAAATGGAAAGGTTGTTTAGACTGACATTATGTGAGGAAGGATGTTTTTTGTTTTACACACACACATCATATATATATATATATATATATATTGTCAGATTGTAAAATTCCTGTCATGTCTATTAAACTGTAATTAAAAGCAGTTGAGTGGGTGAAACTGTTCACTTGAGCCTCCATTGTGTAATTATGAATTACAGATATGGTGAATGACAGCAGTGGTATCGTATAAGTTTAATGTAAGTACAACAGAGATACGTCAACGTACTGTAGGCTGCAAATGTACCACTGTTATTGCAACTGATTCTGCTCATTTAATAGGAGCTGTAACTGTATCAGAATATTAATGTGTTCTTCCTGTTGTTCCCATTCTGCAGATGTGATTTGTCTGTCTGTGAATACAGCCAGCGGTCAGATAGCTTAGCTTAGCACAAAGACTGGAAACAGATGGAAACTGCTAGCTGCCTGGCTATGGTAATTATATCTGTGCAAGAAGGCACTCGGCCACACACTCATAAAATACTTTTTGACTTCTTCTTTTGCTGGTCAAACACATACAAATCAAAAATGGTATTAGTGTTTAACCATATTCTAACTTGTCCTGCCACAGTTTTAAAATGAATCGTTTTTTTTTCACACTTCCCATTAAACCTAACTTGTTGAATTGTACAGCTGCAGAATTCGATACCTTTTAGTGAAAGTGAAGTTATAAGTTTATTAGCTGTGTCTAAATTCAGAGTCTGCATCCTTCGGAGGCTGCATTTCACAGTGGCACTGCTAAGCTGTAACATTGCGACGACCCTTTTGAATGCATCTGACATATATACGTAACTTCATCAACGATCCCAGCCCAACCTATCTCAGGATCAATTTGCTTCTGTTACCAACAGAGGTAATGGTGCCTGCGGGCGACAGGACCTCCAATGGTCGAGTGTCACACTTCAACTGAACCGAACTGCTGCCAGTACACGAGCTGCTGCCGATGCAGCTGTACTGTAAGGCAACAAGCAGTACTCAGAGAAGAACTGTGGAATTGATGTGTAAAATCTGACCAGTTTTCAAAAAACCCAAGGGGCTTTCACAAATTTCTCACTTTGTCCAATTGCAACACTGTTGCAACACTTGTCCCGCCCTTAAGCTGATGACAGCAATCACAGCAATCTTCTGTTGACCAGACCCTCTCCTTTCGGTTCAGGCTTTGCGGTCGAAGCAGCCCACAAACCCCGCCTCCTTTGAGTGCGACGAAGTCCTCCATCAACCACCAAATCTTCAGCTTTGAATCCAAGTGAACATTTACGACCCATTTGAAGAATTTTCTCAAGGCAATAGTGAGATAAATACTCACACTGACCTTTGACCCCCCCCAACATTCCCTCCAGTTGTTTCTGACCTATCTATATCACGAGTCTGTGAGTTTGGGCTGAAACACCCTCGGGCCACAGTGCAGTACATAACCCCTGTAAAAGTATAAACTCTTTGTTTTTACACCTCAGCTTTAGCACAGATAAAAACACAGGACATGTAATGTATTTGTGTAAAGTGTGTCAATGATCTTCTCTAAAAGGGAAACAAGTGTATTTCTCAAATTGGCAAACTGCTCTTTAAAGCCTCATAGTGACCCCACAGTTAAATCTGAGCCCATGAGGGTCCCAGCCCTCAGACCAGAAACTACTCTTCCCCCCCATTTACTGCGAGCCTGAACTCACTGTGGGTACTTCTACCCAACTCTTGTCCTGATCCGACCAATGAATGAACCATTAAAGCAAAGACATGTGGGGGGGGTGATTATTTAGTAACACAGATCCACAGCACGCACGCTGACATGTGACAGTAACATGAAACGGGATAGGTCAAAACCGAAACCGCAAACTTGAGCATCAGTCATTATCGAGTCAGATTTGAATCCACAGACACAATTAAAACATGAGAGAACCTTAACGCACTCCTGTGTTGACTTAAACTCGCAGTTTGCCTGCGTCTTCAACCACTGCACGTGCAATCATGAGTTATCTGATCAACTCGGAATAGCTCCCACACTTTCAAAGTGACGCCATCGATACACCGATCGATAATCGTGAACGCAGCGCGGACCCACCTTTCTCACTGCTCGCCACGCCGGCTCCTGACGAAGAAACGTGGCGACGGTTCTCCCACAACACCGGAGTGTCACCCTGAGGTGAGACGGGCTGCAACTTCTGTGGCTCAGCTCACACTGATCCGCTTCCGCTCACGACTTCAAAATAAAACTCCACCTCCCAGTCATTCCCACGTGATTTGATCTGCAGGAGACTGATCATCCACAGGGGCCCCAAATTGATTCCATTTCATGGGACACTTCAGATTAGATGAATCGGAGCGTGAGGGGAAAATTTGCACCACTGGACGACAACATCCACCATAACGGGTCGTACAAAAATTAAAATGTAGGCGTTTTAATTTTAATTATAACAATGTCTGCATGAGGACAGACTGTTTGCATATGTGAAACATTTGACCTGTTCACACGCTGTTAATCGGTTTATAAGTAATAACGTCAGCAACTTGTGTACAAAAAACAATCTGAGATGTTTTTCTACTTTAGGTGGTGTTCATGTGAATTTTTTCCAATTATTTCAACACCACCCACAGTTAGACCTTGATTTTTTTGTGTCAATTGTGCTCTTTTATGTTAGAGTTGTGTTGTTTTTTTAATACTTAAATTGTTTTAGTTTTTTTTCAAATCCAACACACACACAACAACAGCACTGTCTAGAACATTAAGCCAGGCACAGTGACAGTTAAAAGAGTCCAAATAACAGTATGACATATTATGTGTTACGAGCAGAGGGTCACTATATGTCAGTACATACTTGTAAGTATAGATATCAGAGAATGATGGGGCACACGTCAAAGGGCCGGTGAAGAGCATCTTTTCAATTGCAAGGATGAGGAGCCATAAGCCATCAACCAGACCTTCTATTCCGACAGGTATTTTATCCATTTTGTCCTTGTCTTCTAATGTACAGATCATTCCTCAATATTAATTGGTGAGTTAATCTTTACATCTCATGAATCTCTATCACGATCTCAATACAATTATCGACTGTGGGTCAGGTTTCTACCATTTATGTGTGATAGCTTTTTTTGATGCTACAGTCAAGAGATTTTTATCGTGTCAAGTTATTCCTTCTGACAGGTCACCCAAGTAAAGTGACATGCATTCCAGTGGAATCTGTCTAGCAAGAATATATTATATGTTTCTCCAAATATTTTCCCAAAAGCACTGTATCTTTGGGCAATTCCAAAAAATATGGTGGTGATTCAGCTCCTCATCCCCACATCCATTACAACATTTACGATCTGTCTTTATTAGGTATGTTTTCATTTGTTAAAGTTGTGTTTTGTAACACGGATCCCATTTTCTACTGTGTCATGTTATTCATTTTACAGAAATTCCAAGACATTATATTCTATCACAGCTGTGCTGTAAGGCTACAAGCAATACTCAGAGAGGAACTGTGGAATTGATATGTAAAATCTGACTGAAAACTGACACACCATTCATTGTGAAGTCGTTGTTAGGATAGAGTATTAAAATCTGATGATCTGTGTTGATTTCCTCTTTTTCATTTGTGTGTGTTAGCTAATTCATTGCATAGAGAGGTTGGATTATTCCACCAATAGTGAGATTGCAAACAACAATTATTTTCATTATTGATAACAGATAGTTGTTTTGTCATTAAGAAAATGATTGTTTAGAGTGTTAAATGTTGGAAAATTGTTTTAAAATTCCCATAATTATTCCCTGAAGCTTTCGCCAATGATAAAACAAATCCCCAAAATGTTACAATTACTATTGCGGAAAATTGCAAGTAAAATATAGCAAATATTCAGATTTTAGAGGCTGTGATCTGTGTGTTAGGTAAAAAAGAAACAGTTATGTATATAGGGGGTCCACGGGTCTCAGTAGGTCCCCTAAGAAGTTAATATGACCATGGCTCTCAGTGAGAACTTTGATTTCAGAATTTGTCATAAACTCATTGCACTGCGTGTTGAGAGGATTTTGACACAAAAATGTATTTGTAGCCTAATATTTTGAGTGTGGGGGGCCTTATAGGCACAGACTGAGTGGGGTGTCCAAAGTCTTACACATTCCACAATAACTATTGTTATAATAACTACAACAATAACTAATGTGATTTGTTTATTTATTTAAATTGATGAATTGAAAAGTATCAGGGGAGAAGACTCCTTCTGTATTTCTAGATTCGGATTAATAGTTCAAAATTCAACAATATAATAAATTGGTCAGGGGAGGCAAAACTTTTGCAAACAACTGTATGTAAAGTATAACTTGCTGTGTCTTCTTCCTGTTTATTGAAGCTATGGCCAGTTTCCTCATTCCAATGGACGTTCTTCCAGGGGCCACAGTGTCTTATTTTGAAGGTACAGGCTCAACAAGCTGTGTCTGTGGTCAGCTTTTCCTCGGTGTGCCAATGGAATGGCTGGGAGGCAGTTTGGTTTCTTTTACAGCGTATCCAGTACGGGCGGCTTCGAACACTGACAGACGGTGCGTGTTCAGAAGGAATTTTCCACATCAGGAAACTCTGTCGGTGATTGTTTTCAGTCAAGAGAAAAGAACCAGCGGGCATCTGACATGACTTTCTGAAAGGGTGGGTGGGGTTACGTGAAAGTCGCCACCCTTACAGAACAGCTCCGGATTCAAATCGAGCGTCCACCTGCTGCCGCCCTCTCACCGAGGAGCGTTCAGACCCCCCACTGGGCTCAGGTTGCACACAGGACGCGTCTCCACCAGTCAGATCCCACAAAGGAGGATCGGCCTCCTGCTGCCCCTGTCGCACCATGATGACCGAAACAAGCGCCCCTCCCCCGAAAACCTCTATTAGCTGTTTTGCTTTGATTGTTACGGCTTTGATTTGTTTTTTTTTTCTACCGTATTCGCTTGTTTAACTTTGTTATTGGTTCAGTTTCTACTCATTTTCATTGATTAATCAAGTCTTTTAAAAAAACGTACCCATACATTTGCTTTGGTTGGTAAAATTTAAAATAAGTAAGTGTAAGTTTATATATATTGACCAAACAAAACTTTTGGAAATCAAACACAAAATCTCAAATCTTGAATGAAAAAGAGCAGAAAGAATAATATTCTTGTCAGTTGTTTTATTTGATTGTGTTCTTTAACTCTGCTTTGAAAGATCTGTGTTATATGGAAGCTACTTTCCATCAAAAGCAAATGAACAGTTACACCGATAAAATGGAAAAACCTAATTTTAGTCAACAATTTAAGAAAGAGAGTTAACATGTTGACACACAAAGTGAAAGAAAGTTGATCAAAATGTCACCCATGAGTATGTGAAGTGTTTCTTCGTCACATCTTTATATGTCAAAAATGTAGATTCATGTCAAGTTTTAAAAGTGTTCTTAGCCTCGAACAACATCCGTTCTTATTGAATTCAAGATAATTCAGACAACAAATATTTTGGGTAGCAACTAAACTCTCCAAATGCAGATCTATATATGGCACTTAAAGGTCCAGTGTGTAAGATTTAGGTGAAAGGGAACTATTGGCAGATATTTAATGTAGAATAATCCTCATGATGTTTTCACTTGTTCATTTCATCTAAATTGTTTGAATTGTAGTTTTCTTTACCCCAGAAAAGTCCCTTTATATTTAAATACTTAATATTTACATCTGGGGGACCCTCTCTAAGGAGGCCGCCATGTTTTTGACATTAGTCCAGACTGGACAAACTAAACACCTTTTGAGTTTTCATGACAACTAAAGCTACCACAGCTTCTTTTTCACTTTTGAAAGGAGAGTACCTCATGGTGAGGGGTGTTCAGCTGCAACATGCAATTTCAACACTAGATATCACAAAATTATACACACTGTACCTTTAAATAAAAAAATGTCAATCTTTAACAAAGTTAAAATTATTATTTAGAATCTTTTTTGTATTAAAGTAATCATCACACACAGTTGATTTTATTTATTATGTTTCCTTGTTAGCAGCAGCAACCCCCCCCCCCCCAAAAAAAATGTTTCACCACGACAAGAAACTTTAGTTTTTGTATAACGTAGTCTTCAGTTCAGCGCTTCTCTTTTAAGTTATAACAGTGGCACATTTTCAAATAAATATCATAAAAGACTTCTTTTTACAATGATCCTGAGACTGAAATAAGTAATAACTGGAGACTGACTGAGGAGGAGAAATCTTCAGCTCTGTCAATCAGGACCAGAGATGCAGAGATGAAGCTGAGTCGGTGTGCTCCATGAGTGTTTGGATGGATTTTTATATCAAACAGAGGGGGAATCTGTCACTGTAAAGTCATTTGAGTTTGTTCACATCCAATCAGCATGTATATCATGGCCCCTTTAACCTCCTAAGGGGCTAACACTTGTTGCATGGCCCCATACTGGACCCGCCCTCTATACATAGAGTATAGGTAGTTCAATACTTCCTCATTTTTAAGAAACAGTCTCAATAATTTCCTAAAACAGCTGCTCACTGTTGAAACTATTTTCAGTCCGAAGTGTGTCGCCTGTGTGGGACTGAGTTAAAATAAACTACAGTGAGTGTGTGTTCATCTTAAAGAAGACTCACGTCAGTGGCTGTGGTGTGTTTTAGCAGTGTCTGGACAACAATGAAGCTCGATGACTCAGAGGAGGAAGATGTTACAGACACAGTACTTATTGGTTTTTCATGATGGTTTTTTTTTCATGGTTTAGTTGATGATCAGAAAAACACAGACTGTCACCTGATGTGTCCTTTGTGATGTTGGTGTAAACCTTGACAATGAAATCTGATTTGTGGCCTTTCACCTCTGCTGCATCTCTGGTCTCAGAGTTCATCAATCTCACATCCTGAGATGCAACTGAAAGATAATCAACCCCAGCAAACACTGATGACTAATGGAATAATAATTAGCCACCATTTTAATACGATAATTGACTAAGAAACAGAGGACATTAGAGTGAAAGTTCAGTTTGTCCTCTGTCAAGTGTCCTCAGTCCAACACGAGCTGAGGGAGACAGAAACATGGCAGCTGCTCAGGAGGTTCTTTCAGGTCAGCGTCCAAGCCGACATCAGGGCCAGAGGGGTCTGAGGTCAGGGGAGAGGGTGAGGTGTTGATTTTGGTTGCAGGGCCTCAGGAGATGGTTCCTGATGGCTTTTTTTCACAGGGTTGAGTTCAAGGAGAGGGGTCAAGTGTGGGGTCCACGGGCCTGAGAGGCGTCTGAAGAAGTTGAGGCCCAGGTTTCCTCATGTGTTTCCTCTGGGTTTAGGCCAGAGCATCAAGGACAAATGTTTGTTATCAGATGGGCTTCTCATGTTTCAGTTAGAGAAGCAACATGTACACTAATTTAATAAAAGAAAACACGGGGATCTAACTTCAGTTCCTGCATTAAAATACTGTCAGATTCCACATTTTAATGTAAAAATGTGTTTTTTTCATCAACATCATAACCATGGGTTTTAGAAATACATTATGAGTCAATATATAATTCCTTCTATTATGCCTGTCAGCTTTTATGTGGGATAACTCAAAGTCAGAACCTAAAAATATTAGTCAATTTAAGATGGGACTGGAATTTAGTTCATGTTCTCAGAGTTTGACCCATCTGTCTCCTACAGATGTCTCTACTTGATGGAAATGCACACCTTTATCAGTGGATGGCTGATTAAAAAAAGTTTCAGTTAAAAGATAATTTTACCAATTTGTTCTCTTGTTAGAGAAGCTCCTGTTTTAGCAGCTCATTCCCTCAAATGTCTATTGCAATAGTTTAATTCAGCCAGTTGGACTGAATACACAATTTGTTCAAAATCATGTGTAGGTATGTTTTTTGAAAATCTTTCTCAATGGTTCATTAGAAACCAAAATCCCAGGAACAACATTCACATTAGTGTATCACTTCAGTGACAGCAACATCAAAGCTTTTTGCTTGGAGAACCTTTGATTGAATGGGAAAATGTATTCATTAAAATATACTTTTGACTTAATAGCTGGTTAAATGAACAAAAAAGTCATCTGTGAGCATAATTGAGTTGAGATCAAGGTTAAATATGGTAAACAGAACTAATATGAGTCTAAATTAGTAACTCACAGGGAATAAATTCAGCACTTCCATTTGTATTTTATAGGAAATTATATAGATGTTTTAAGTTGAGTTCACAAAATTAAAAGAGTCCAATTTAAAGGTATTTTGACAGAATCTGCCGGTGAAACTGATCAGGAAATAGATCATACAATCCTCCTCAGAAGATATTTCCACAATGAACCCAGAGACATGATCTCAGTGACTTCAGTGGGTGCTATGACCTCAGTTTTGCTTAAAGAACATCGCTCATGTGCAGAATGTATTTCATAAAAATGCAATGTTAACTGAGGTTCACAAGATAGAAGCACAGGGCCACGATGAGTCATCTAACGGCATAATTCCGTGATTTGGGGATCCTAATTAAGTAATTTACAGGTACAAATAAGTAATCTGATGGAACAAAAGCACCACACTGAACACACAGATGGGCATTTTGATGAAATGATTTTGTAATTTGAGGACATTTTGTCTCAAAAGACTGAAATCTAATGAATTTAAGTTAGTTTTCACAATCGGTCTTAAATACCAGCTTCAAGGTTGTTTTTTTAAATGTCACGGCTGCACAGGACAGAAGAGAGGGGTCAAATCAAAGCATCTGAGAGGGGAATATTTACTGGTCCAAGCAATCAAGGACACTCATTTGAAGGAACAAAAGCAGGACAGTGATCGTACAAATTAATATTTTTGAGTTAATAATTTGTAATGTGAGGATACTGTGGTAGAGGAATTTCATGGCTGCACTGGGGAGAAGAGAGTTGTCAGATGAAGTCTTTGAGAACATAGTTCAGGGACTTTAGGTCGTCAATTATTGATTTAAAAAAACATGCTGTTTCGCTGCAGGGCACAAATCATTGCTTTGACGGAACAAACCACCCAAAGTATGAATATGAAATCATGAGTTACTTTGTGATGCCTGCAGAGCTTTTGTAAATTTGTCTTATGAGGACTAAAGTTGAGTTCTGCATCTGATGGAGAGGTCTTTTTTTTTTTTTTGGTGCATTGGGATGAAGGGTGCAGAGTCACTGTTCAGGTCAGAGGTCAGTGTCTCTCAGGCCTGGGGGGGTGACTGCGGACTGGCCGGGTCGTGGAGCTTCCTGATGTGTTTCTTCAGGTCAAAGTTCCTACAGAAGCCCTTGCCGCAGGTGGGGCACGTGAAGGGCTTCTTGTCATTGTGTGTGTGCATGTGGAAGGTGAGGTTGTACACCTGGTGGAACGCCTTGCTGCAGATGGAACACTTAAACTGCTTCTCCCCGCTGTGCGTCAGCTTGTGGTTCTTGTAGTTGCCTGTGAAAACAAGCAGACGATTAGAACCCACATCAGGACGAGAGAAAACGACAGCCCCCAAACACTCTGACACAACTTGTGTGTTCATTTAGTCGGTGGTTCCAAAACAACAGGTTGTACACGTGTGATTTGTTCAAACTAAATATGATGTTTTTCTTCTATTTCACATATGGTTTAGAGGGCTGGAATAAAAAAACAATGTGTTGTTTCAGAATGAAAGGATCCAGAAATAAGAGGGAGGTCTGAACAAGTTTATTGGTGTCAGAAATCATTGTCATATTTCCTGCTAATCATCTCTTAATCATTAAATTAAAAAATAGCTGGAGGAAATGACACTGTAAAACAAACAGTCAACTATAGTAGAAATGAGATACGAAGAACCTAAACGTTAGACATTCTGTCGTTATTTTAGCTTCTACATGAACAGATTCTGTGATGAAGGAGCCTTTCTGGGAGGACAGGTTTAATGTGATGATGCATGAAGACAGTATTTGTTGACAAGACAAATTTGTACACTGCAACCACCTTAAGGACGCGGTCCTCAGAAATCAATCAATAACTCAGGTCAACTGTTTATAATCTCTCAATAAATCAGTGTCTTCTGACTGTCCAGCTATACTGAAATCAGACTGCGCAACACGTGCCTTCTCTCTAACTGGTAAAGGTAAATCCCCGGCCGAAACAGCTGGAGTCATATGAAACCTGGCGGATGTACCTGCAGACACTACTCAGGCCTGAGAGACGCCCCCGCACCTTCTTTGTTTTTCAGGTAATTAAAAAGAATACTGCACTTGATGATCATTTAAATACATGGACAGAGTAAATACACAACCTATTATTATAAGGTGTCTATCAATAAAATAAGTATGATTTTAAAAGGTTAACATGTATTCATACATACAGTAATTTAAATACTATAACGCACTAGTTTGATGACCAGTTGTTTCACAGTGTTTTTGTTTGTGGGAAATAGGTTTATTTTCTGCACAGACAGAAAGATTCAGGAAAGAGCCAAGTTGTTCACAGAGCTCAGTCTGACTCAGACCTCAACAGGTCTTCAGCTGTCGTCACAGCTCCGATTTCACATCCATCCGATTTTAATGAGTGGAAGAGTTCAGTTCATCCAAAGATTAAACTTCACAGCTGAACAAAAGTGAAACAAGAGGCCAAATGGATTTGTCTGAGAGGACGATGCAGTGATTCAAGAACTCAGCAAAAAGGACAAATAGCTCATCTGAGGGAATTAAAGAACAGGTAGTATTTTGGGGAAACATCTTTTAACCTGAAGTGCATTGACATTTGTTCGGAAGTGTGCTAGTTCAGTGGTGGAATTAAGATACCTCTATTAGAAAGGCAGATTTAGCTTCTTTTTTTTTAAAATCTAGCACTTATGTGATATCTTTAATTGATACATATTATTAATATTAAATATAATCATTATATAAATGTTGACATATCATTACAAAATATTAAGCTACAAAGAAGAATTAATGTCATTAAATAAGTCCCATCTTTACCAGCTGCAACATTTCTCTTAATGCGTACACATACACGCATCAATACTGCTTGGTAAAATAAAATACTGCTCCCACCTTGTATGTGCAATGAACATAGTCCAGACCTGGTTTGCGTCCACTAAATCTATATCTGCTTTGTGTATCTTCTAAAAGCTCTCTGTCCTGTTTGTATTTGTAGTATTCACTGCACACAGCACAGCAGTGTACAATTCACTGAAGCGTATTCAGCAAACTTGCTCCGCTCGGTCTCCTTTTTCTTATTCTGTCGAAGCCCATGCCTCATCCTTCTTATTTCAATCTCTGTTTTTTGACCTGTGCTAATTTGAAAATAATCATTATCCTGGTTGATGCCGGAAGACGCTGCTGGCAGCTGTTTGAGCCACAGACTGTGAGGATCCTTTAATGGCTTCTCTTTTTGTCAACCACCCCTTTATAAATCTTGCACATACAACACTGGTTTCTGCCACAACTGTAATTCAGCGTTTAGAGTGGGATGTGAAAATGAGTGTGTGTGTGTGATCTGGAAAACATTTTGTCATAAGAAATAGTAGTAAAAATTATAATTAACTTATAATGATAATAATAATAATAATAATAATAATAATAATAATAATATAGTACTATACATATTGTGTATAATGGTGATTTTATTATTCATCTTTGGTGAAATTGAAGATAAATTGATACTTTGATGTGTTAATATCCTGTCTATTCATAAACTTTGGTAATATCTACTAAAACCTACGTTTATTGGTTATTGATATATTAATATTCGGGCTATTTGTCATTTTGGTACTTTAATGTCACTATAGTTACTCACGTAGATCTTTATGGAAACGTAAAAATGTCGTGTCATCAAATTGAAAACCTAATGGAAACAACGTCTATGGTTGATTGTTCACTTCCTGCTGTTGCGCACCTTTCTGGTGAAATCCTTTCCCGCAAAACTCGCACACGAATGGTTTGTATCCCGCGTGGATGCGCGTGTGCGTGTTGAGGGTGGAGCTGCGGTTGAAGGCTTTCCCGCACTGGTTACACTTGTGCGGTTTTTCCTGCAAGTCAAAGAGGAACATATGAGACACACATGCAGGAGAAACGTTAACACCAGGGAATATCTGACTGGTGTACAGCTTCTCTATGGATATTTAAATTAGTATCTAATTTTCTTCAGAGCTTAAATCAACTTTCACTACAAATTCCAGTTGTCTGTGAACAGGACTATTAATGTGTGATAGGAGCGAACTCCACAGGACGAACTCAGCCAACATAAACAGGCTGGTGCTTCCATTAAGTCTGATTCTGACACATATCAAAAAATACAGTAGCTGTTTTATACAATCAATGATGATCATTCCAATTAGACTTTTAAACCCAGAGCTCAAAGTTCAGCTTAATGCTTCACATCTAGATTTCCTTAGACAGCCTGGCTTTCATAAAGGAAGATTTTAACTTTCACAGATTTGTTTTAGTTCTTACAGGATTTATTTAAACTCAAATTCTATTTTTTTATAAATAAGGACGAATATTTAAAAAGTCGTTTACAGTTGTGTTTTTTTATAAAACAATTTAAAAATGTGACCGTCTCTAAAACTGAACATTTGTGTTCATATTCTAACATAAAATGTCTCGAAGCAATTGATCGTTTTTAAAGTCAGTGAATTTTAGGTCCCACCCACTAACTAATATTAACACATGTGATTGGACAGTGTTATTGCTGTTATCAGATTGATTGACAGGTTGTCAACAACTGCGTGTCATTTTAAATGTTGCCTCTTGATGTTGAATGCTTTTCTATCAGTAGCCAGAAAACAGATTCATCTTTCAATTATAATCGATTAGAACCACATTTTTCCAGATCCAAGGGGCTTCAATAAACGACGTTTGATATTTTAAATTGGAACAAATTACACGAATAAATAAAATAATAAACAAACACGTGGACAGGATAAGAAAGAATAGAATAATACATTTCTTAATACTAGAAGATGTTGTGGTCATGACCTGACGAGCAAAGAATAAAATCAAATCATAATTAAATGTAAAGATTGAAATGAAATAAAATGGATCTTAGGCTGAGTTGATGGTAAATAAGAAACAAAGCAGGTGTAATTGGAGCAGTACCTGAGTGTGGATGATTTTGTGTCGGCACAGTGTGCTCGCCTGTCTGAAGCCTTTCCCGCACACTTTACACACGAACGGCCGCGCGCCAGTGTGCACGGGCATGTGGCGCGTCAGGTTGTAGTGCGCGTTAAACACCTGAGCAGGGGGGAGGAAAAATAAGAATCACAAATAGCCCACAATAATTACACCAACAACAACAACAACCATCATAATAATAATAATAATAATATCAATAATAATAGCCTGAAATTTATCATATCGACAAACACCATATTTTTTGTTAGAATCTTAAATAAATGACCTGACAGAATCCTAACCCAGAATGAAACGTAACGTCATATAATGGTGAAATTTAGAAACAGACTAGAAATCCTATAGTTCGTGGGTATTTTCTGTTAAATTGAAAAGAAAAGAAAAGGAAATAAAGGAAAAGAAAAGAAAGCTAATTCAATGCAGCTGGGGTCAATTCGATGTAAAAGAAGGTTAACATCCAATTGTGTCAGACAATATAAGAAAACATTTCAAACACAATGAAGGTCTGTGGTGCGTTAAATACATCAATAAGTCTTTCGTTCAAAGATCTGGTCCATCGACGCTTCAGTCTCTGTCGCTGTCTCTTTACTGCAGCTTTACGGCATCTACAGTTTTCCCCCCTATTTTCATTTAGTTCGATTTCTTTATTTCATACATTTAAAAAAAACATGCGCATTCAGTGGGTTATTTCTAGTCGAGTAGAGGAGCTAAATATCTTGGAAATAAAGGAGAATTCCATAAAAAAGGTCTTGTTTATAAAATAGTTTAAAAAACGGGCCTGGAACCTAAAAACCTCTCTTTATCTGAAGTATTCAATTGGAGCAAATGTGACACTCGGGCATTTTTTAAAATATCTATTTAATATGTTGACAATGACAATGAGCGCACAACTAATATCAGCTCTGATCACGTAATACGTTGTTGGAAGAATCGGTTCATAAATCTCCCATTTCTTTGTGAAGAACGTGAAACCTCTGTGGTTCAGGTTGAGGTCCAGACGACTTGTTGGGACTCACCTTGCCGCAGACCTCACAGGTGAAAACTTTGGGTTTGCTGCCGGGACAGGAGCCGCTGAGTCGAGCCGCCGCGGCCGCGGACTCCTTGAAGATCTTGTCAGTGAGGAGGTGGTCCCGCTCCTTCATGTAGTGCTGGATGTGGCTGTGAGACAGCTCCTTGAAGGCCTGCACGCCGGACACCGGGTACCGCTCCCCGGCCTGCTGAAGGCCCGGCTTGCTCTTCTCCGCCATGAAGGCTTTGTGCCGGGCGGTGAGCAGGTACGAGGCCATCGGGTGCAGGTTGACCAGGCCTGCCGGCGGGGGACAGGCGCCCGTGTCCCCGCTACAGTTCAGGTAACACACGGTGCCCATGGTGGGGAAGGAGGACTGGTTCACCACGCGGGGTCTGAAGAGTTTGTACTGGCCGGCGCTTTGGCTCACAGCGGAGTCCTCCTGCTGGTTCTTATAGTTCAACCCAAAGCCCAAAAAGTCTGAGGGAGCGGCGACTGAAGACGCCTCGAAGTGACCCGGATCCAGCCCGGTGATGCTGAGCCTGTGGCCCGGCTCGTACCCGAGCGGCACCAGCGGTATCATACAATGAAGCGAGGACGGGCAGACGTCGGGTTTCCCCACGGGAGCGGGCTGGAACCAGCTGGGGAGCGGTATTGACTTGGGCTCGGGCGTCCTGGCCATAATCCGGTCGATGGAGAAAGCGAGAGGCTTGCTACTGCTGCTGCCGGAGGTGAGCATGTCGGAGCCCGTGGGCTGGCTCCCAGAAGCCGGGGGGGAGCCTAGGATCCCCGCTGGGCGGCGGAGAGGACCGTCCATCACCTCCGCATCAACCGCGCCGCGACAACAACAACACGAAACTGTCGGAGGGAAGCCGGAGGTTGGGGCTGCTCCTCAGCGGCCCGCTGGAAAGGGCATCATCTGCCGGGGAACCCCCCCTCCAAATCACCGGTCCCGTTCCCACCGCTTATTGACGACAATCAGGGGCGGCCGCGGCTCGCTCGATAACGGCGTGCAGAGAGCCGGGACCTCGCTGATCGTTACGTCCAGGAAGAGGAGCGGAAAAGTAGATAATTCGCTCAATTCTCCTTCGTCGATTCTCTGTACTTGTCGCCGCTGGAGGAGGAGGAGGAGGTGTCCTTCACTTGGCAGGACTCCTGCTCAACTGGAAGGTATCTGGTAAATCCCAGGTCTCCTTGTGGCTTCGCGTGACATCATTACTTTTTTTTTTTCTTCAATCGCAATTCGCCAACCACGCAGCGGCCGCGGGGTCAGGAGCTGTCAGAGGTTTCCATCAGATTTAGAAACATCTTTGGATCCCGAAACGCGCTTTTACGCACGGTTCAGAGAAGACACAGAGCTGACACGTGGCTAAACTTAAGACAGAAAACGAATAGATACTGAGCAGAGAATGGATCTGAAGTCATCGATCTCATCCTGGGTGGGCTCTGCTCTGTGAATCTCAACTTTGACTCAAACGTTCTTATCCTCGTTTCTTTACGCACGAGATTTAGAGATAACGCACCCGCGACTGTTCAGACTGAAGGAACCAACATCAGATACAACTCTGCGCCGTTATTCATATTTTCCTTTTGACGTAAAAGACTCCTTTACGAACAGAAAATCTCAGCGGGCTGAGAAGTGAATTCCTCAGGATGAATGAGACTGACGGTGAACAGACAGACAACAGACAGCAGACAACAGACAGCAGTGGGCTGGTTGGATGAGCTGAACAGAACTTAGTCTGAACAGAAGGTGCAGAGCAGTGACCCGCTGAGTGAAGTATGTTCAGGTGTTGCTGACCCGAAGGTGTTCGTTTACTTAAGAATGTAAAAAGAAATAATACAAAATTGGATTTACATTTCACTGTTC